CCCATGTTTCGTTATCCATTACGCAAAGAGCAATATATGATAAGTGTCTCAAATGGCCCCTTAAAATGAATATCTTAATTTTACTTTATATATAGCTTTACTTTGGACAGCTATACACGTGCATTTTATACGTAATTTTTAATTTGATGAAAAGTCATGTAATTAGAAATATGACATCATGAAGATGTATCTATCCAAGACTAATTACTGACAGAAAAATTTTGCATGTTCAAAGCTGCGCTCTATGTTTCCCATAAGAAAAACGTCAAGAAAAAGGCACATTTTTGTCTTATTTTGATTGTCAAGGAATTAGTTGATAGCGCCCCCCTCAACTGAAAATGTATGGTTGTGCCCCCTCAAAGTGAAATTGGTTCCTACGGGCCTGTTTCTTTAGACCTGTGCCAAGCAGTTATATCCATGTCCAAAGGAGTTTTTAATGGATTCATTTTGTGTGCAAAATAACAAGGAATTTATATGTATGTGAATTGTTATAAACTTAAAACACTGGTTGCATTTTGGTTTAATTTGAATCATAAATACGCACTCTGGTTCCCTATAAGAGTTTACGGGGGGGGGGTGTTTGCTTTGATCTTAAAGCAGTTCAATTATATGTATTATTCAGCTATCATGGTGTACATGTATACACATTTTTGGAGACACTTTTTATCAAGGTTTCAACTGAATATACTTGTACGATTTATGAGTATCGATTTTCTAAAAGGGCGTCATTTGAGGACCGGTAAATAGGATAGTGCATTTAAAGATACCAACAGTTTGACCCAGAATTCATAAGGAAGTTTAAACTATGTACGCATCGAATGATCTGGGTTTTTTTCATACCTGTGGATCTTACTTGTCATATTAAAATATCTATCTAATTCCATTAGTGACACCATTAATGAATTTAGCATTAGGTAATAAGAAAAAATATGTTATTTAAAAAAAAAAATCTCATCTGACTTTGGTGCAATTCATGACATAAAAGATTGTCATATATTTACGTTAGTTTTGTCGGTATTTTCGTTGCCTGGATATGATGTAGATGCATTACTTCCAAAGTAATTGTAGTAACCTCGATCACTAGATTACTGAGATTTTCTAAGGATTTAATGACCCATTACATGGACAACACATCAAGCCTTCAGACTTCATTAATCAAGGGTGATTCAAAACAACATACAATACAGAGTTATGGTTCTTACTTATAATCATAGTTGTGACCTTACTAAACGTCAAATCTGTGTCTTACTGCAATTTTTTTTATTTTTTAATTTTAATTATCTTTTAATTATCAGCGCAGTAATTTGAATTTATAAAATTATTATTTGTCGAGTAAATCTCTAAGATTTAAACTGGATTGACAAGTATATCTAATAATATTCACTGTGCTAACGCCCCTGATCTGAACGTTTTCGAGAGTGATGCGTGTTATGGTAATAATGTTTTGTTGATCGTATGTTTTACAAAATTTTAATATACTGAATATCATATGTTTTTTTAAAGTTTGAATAATAAGTACCGGTATCTTGTTTATTTAAATGTAGAGACCACAAACGCAGTAATATTACATTTACGAGTGACTGGGGTCGCCATATTTTGGGGGTATGTGCTCGATTTAATTTTATTTCACATACTGATTAATTGTTCTTTCATTTGTATTTTTTGTTCTATTGGTAATGTGTAAATGTCTTATTTTTTGTAGCTCATTGCCAATTAATATTTAATTAAAATAAAGAACCTAAAGGAAACTTGACTTTTGTCGTTACATAAACTTCATATGCTTATTATAACCCATCATAATTAGTTTCTTTAAAACGGAGCTAAACACAAATTTAAGAAAAGTGAGGTCAAGGTTAAAGGAAAGGTCAAAAACGTTGATGCAGTTGAAAAGCTAACATCAGTATGTATCAGCATATGAAGTTTGATTACACTACCTTGAATTGTTTCTTTAAAACTGAGCTAAACACTAATTTAAGAAAATGAGGTCAAGGTCAAAGGAAATGTAAAAAAAAAAATGTCAATGCAGTTGAAAAGCCAACATCAATATGTATCAGCATATGAAGTTTATGTAACGACAGAAGTCAAGTTTCCTTTAGGTTCTTTATTTTAATTAAATATTAATTGGCAATGAGCCACAGCAAGTGTTTTCTTCTTTTCACGTATAAGATTTTGAACAAATTCTGCTTCATATGAATACAAAAAGGTCTGCTAATACATCTTTTCAATCAGAAACTCAAGCATCTTTATAATGTCAACTTCAGAGTACTTGTGTGTACAATCAGAATGTTTTTTAACAAAATATTTTGCAAATGACCAGTGGCAAGGTAAGTAAATTTACGAGTTCCATTTTTATTGAAAAAGCAGCTGTCAATGATATCAAAAAGCCTGGACTTAAATTTATCGTGGGGAATGGTTATGTATAAAGCTGAAAAGTCGTAAGTTTTTAAGCTGTTGATTTTGGTAAAATCTTGTGATTTCCAATTTTCCAAAAGTTCCTTGGAATTTTTAAGTATCCACATCTGTTTTTCACCACTTCTCGAATATATTGTTGCACAGTACTCTTGAAGTTTTCCTTCACTACTGTTGATATCTTAGTGAGGAGTAAAGAAAGAGGCTTGGTTGAACATTTACTGGAACCTGCTATGTATCTTTGTAAGGATTTTTATGAAGTTTCGGAATCCAATATAGATATGGTAATTCAAATTCATTTTGGTCGTTTGGAATATTAAAAATATTCAAAACTGACATATGATTTTGAAGAATTTCTTCCTTAGAAAGGGAACTATGAGTATAAGTAGGATTACCACTTGTAGAATTAAATCCAAGTTCCTCTAAAATACATTTAATATAATGAGCCTTACAAACAAAGACAATGTTGTTACCTGCTTTATCAACAAGGACCATGTAATCTGTCTAATTCTTTTTTCACTTCTGGATTATTGAATACAGAAGGATAGATGGTTCTCATATTGCCCTTCAATCTTTTAATGCGCGATTTTAACATACATCTGATGCATTTAATACATTCTGACAAAGTGTCAAGGTCTTCTTTTTCATGTCTGGCCCATTGAAGCATCGGGGTTCCCTATATTTAGGACCTTTTAAAATTAGTGATCTTAGGTCCTCATTATTAACTATATTTACGTCACCAGTAATAACGTGTCCAGCAGGACTATAGTTATTGGGTGAAGAAGAACATGAACACGATGGAGGATTATGTTTCAGATATTCGTTATCCAGGCCCTGTGAAGTCTTCTTGTAATTAAGAAGTTTGGAAGCAATAGTCAATGTATATTTGTAGGAAATACAAGGTGTAGTCTTCAACTTGAAATATGGTGGAATACAAGACTGGACCCTTTTGTAATTAAGAATATTACTTATATTAACCGCGTCAATTCTTTTGTTGGCATATTGAAGTTTATGGAAAAAACGGATTGTTTTAGCTGCATAAGGGTCTTAATCATTAACTTAATATTTTTCCTATCAATTTTTGATAATACGTTTTATCTTTAATATTAAATTGACCATCGGCAGTAATTTATGCTAGTTTTACAATACTCAATGTCTTTCGTGACTTGTGAAAAACAGAAAACAAGCAAATACTTCGTACTTTGTTAAGTTGATGAAATGAATAAAATGTGAAAACTCTGGTGTGAAAAGGAATGATTTTTAACAAAAAAAGTGTACATGTATTAAGCGAAGTTTCGTTTTGAAAATGCAATGTTTCATATCTTAAAGGTCATTTTTTATCAGTTTAATCAAGTCAAGGGCAGGGTAGATAATATACTGATCAGTGGTTATTATTCATATAAAATAAATCTATTTAATTGATGTTTATAATTAAATGCCTGATTGATTGATTGATTGATTGATTGTGTTTTGTTTTCAAGAACATTTCATTCATATAGAGACGTCACCATATACTAGTAAAGGCTTCAAATCTAGACCTACAGTCGGCACTGAGGATCATTGAGCAGTGAGGGTTCATTCTGGTGTCAACGCCTACCGTAACACGTGACCTCGGTTTTAAGACCAGTGAGTTTCACTTCTAGTGCCGGAGTAAAGACGAATAATGACCCAATAGAAAAATGACCGGGGGTCATCGAAAAAGTACCCCTTGGCCTTATAGAAAAAATTAAGTTTTTGTAGAAAAAAAACCCTTGGGGTCCATTTTCTATATGTGCTACCTATAAGAAATTGACCCCGTTGAAAATTGACCCCCCATCCTAACAGAGTGATACAAAGTTCAAAAAAGATGATTGATGCCAAGATTTGGATTGCAAAGGGTAATTCTCTTGTTTTTCTGAATGAAACTAGACGAACACGCAATTAAAGTTTGTTTAGAAACATTACTTTTGTTTCTTTTTATTAGATCTTTTGTGTTCTCAGCTCAAAATCAAAATTTCTCCATAACAATACATACGTCACAGTGGCTATTGGTAAAAGGTAATCAGGACGACGCTAGACATTTTATTTTGTGCGAACAAAACGATTCAAAAATGATGATCAGCAGCTCTAGATGTTCAGTAAATATTTTGATTTTTAAAACTGACCACCGTTGCCATGGGAAAAAAAAATTTCAACTAATATTCTCAAGGTTGGCTCGTAAAATCTTTGTGATACTTCACAAATGCTTTAAAATTTACATATAAGATTACATGTACGATATTTATACCCGCACTTACTAAAGAAAGTTCGGGTATATCGTTGTTACTCATGTCCGTCCGTCCTCCGTCTGTCACACTTTCTTCTTCCTCAAACTTCTCTTATATTTTACACAGTAGCCAGATAATCTTTTGGGAGATGGTTGGTAGTGTCATGTAGATGTGCAATAAGGTTTTGGAATTTTCATTTTCTCCCTGGGGGTCAAATGGGGGTAGAAAAATGACTTTTTTTATGCAAAAAGCCCCTGGTTCCCTGAACTCCTCTTACATTTTACACAATATAGATTATTGAAATGAATATGAAATAATCTCATTTAATTGTTTGGATAGCATTAAACAATAAGACACAACTTGGTACAAGTTATCTAGTTCATGGGAAAGTAGGCTTCAGGATGAGTTAACTAGTATAGCAACTTCCTCTTCCTCTTCAACATCCAGTGAGTTTGGTCATTAGTAAAAGTTACAAACAAAAAATCCAGTCCAATCCTTAGCACTATGCCACCAAAAAGGAAGAGAGATATCAGAGGGGAGATGGTGTCGCCATCCAGGGGCAGAGGGCACAAAAAGCCTCGCCATTCTCCCAGGCAGCAAAGGTCTGGAGCGCAAAGGAACGATCACCCCCCCCCCCCACCATGCCGAACCAGAGACTGCAGGGAGTGATGCTTCACCTGACAGTGATTTGGGGGAATTCGCACCACCAATCATTGGTAATGTTGATTCAGATTTCTCCCTTGATGTAAATCTTTCTGATTTCACTCCTGTCCCAGAACTTAGCTGTTTTGATAATGTAGGTCAACACATCCCTTTGAAGTTAAAACAAAAAATTTGGGACGGACAGTTTATCGAGTTAGGTCTGCTGTTAAAATCAGCCAAAGAGATTAATGATAGTTTGGGAGGACAAGGGGAAATTAAAATTAGAGATGGGAAATTTTGTATTGTCCGGTCAAAGGTTGGTTCATATTTGACAATTGAAAAATGGACAAATGCTTTTATGATTTACATGAGTTTTATGTTAGAGAAATATCGCATTAGGGCCCAAGAGTTTTTAAAATACATGAGAGATATCAGACTAGCTGCCTCTAGATCACAGGGCTGGTTCAAATACGATGAACAATATCGGCTACGCAAAGCTAGCAATCCCGAATCCTCCTGGGGGGTTATAAGTCAAGAATTTTGGCTATTGTATGTGACCAACCAAAGTTCACATTCTTTTGGCAGTCAAAATCATTTCAACAATACTAAACAAAATTTAGATGAGAGCAGCACATCCGCTGCTACCCAGTATTGCTATCATTTCAATCAGGGTAAAAAGTGCAATTTCTTCCCCAGATGCAGATTCAAGCACGTCTGCAGGAGGTGCGGAGGCAAGCACCCGGCCACAACCTGTTCCACCAAGTCAGCTGTATAAACTGGGCAAGATCCCAATTAAACTAGACAAAAATTTTTTTCCATACACAAAATTATTCTGATCATCAATTCTTAAGGGAAGGTTTTCAACATGGTATTAAATTACAGTATTTTGGCCCTAGATCACCCAGGTTTTCTAAGAATCTTACAAGTTTGGACAAACAATATCCAGTTGCAGAGCAAAAGATTTACAAAGAAGTCTCATTGGGGAGGGTTGCGGGTCCCTTCAAAGAACCACCTTTTCCAACATTACAAGTTTCTCCTTTAGGTCTTGTACCTAAAAAAGACGGTGACTACCGCCTAATTCACCATTTGTCGTATCCAGAATCTGCTTCAATAAATGATTTCATTGACCCAGAACACAGCTCAGTAACCTATTCAACCATAGATGATGCTGCCGCCATTATTGCAAAATTAGATCGGGGGGGGGGGGGGGGTTTCTGGCGAAGTCGGACATTAAATCAGCCTTTAGGTTGCTACCAGTGAACAGCACTGATTTCGACTTGTTAGGTTTTCACTTCAATGATGGTTTTTATTACAAGATGCTACCTTTCGGTTGTAAAATAAGTTGTGCAATTTGGGACAGATTTGCTGGCTTTCTGCATTGGCTTATACAGGATTGCTCAAAAAATGCCTCAATCCTGCATTATCTAGATGACTTTCTTTTCTGTGGCAAAGAACTTTCCATTTGCAAAAATACGTTAGACACTTTTCTTTATCTGTGCAACGATCTAGGGGTCCCTATTGCAAACGAGAAAACCGTATATCCAACGCGGGTTCTTACGTTCTTGGGCATTGAGTTTAATACCGTGGAAATGATCATGAGGTTACCGTTGGTAAAAATTGATGAAATCAAACAAAAGATTCTCGACATTATGGCACTTAAGAAGGTTACTCTTAAGCAACTTCAGTCTTTATTGGGTTTGCTAAATTTTGCATGTAGAGTTATAGCTCCAGGTAGAGCTTTCTGTCGACGTTTGATTGATGCAACAATTGGCCTTAACAAACCACATCACCATACCCGGGTAACTTTAGAAATGAAAGCAGACCTCAAAGTCTGGCTTGACTTCCTCCAATCATTTAATGGCATTTCAGTCATTACCGAAGGTATATGGGTGAATAATGAGACTCTACAACTACAACTACACTGATAGTGCAGGGGGAGATACGGGGGGCTTTGGTATATATTTTGCAGGCAAGTGGACATATGCTCAATGGCCCATTTCCTGGTTTGTACAAGGCATAACCCGTGACATGACCTTTTTAGAGCTTTTCCCGGTCCATGTAGCTATTGAATTGTGGAAACATCAATTCTCCAACAATAGAATTTTGTTTTACATTGACAATATGGCGGTGGTACATGTCATCAACTCGACAACATCAAAGTCACAAAGGGTCATGAAAATTTGGGGCAAATTCCGACGGCTAGCACCGGCAGCAGATCCATGGCCAACACCACTTCCCAAGAATATGTGGGAAATTTAACAAGGGAGGCAAACAGACTTATACAGGGTTCACTATCAGCAAACACATACAAAGCTTACCAGGGGGCTCTCACTAACTTCAAAAAATTCCTGAATAATTGTGGGACCACATTGTATTTCCCCATTCCTGTTGATCTTTTGCTTAATTTCATTGCCCACCTCTCTATTTCAGGTACAGCTTATAGAACAGCTGCACTGTACATTAGCGCATTATCATATATACACAAATTAAGAGGCATACAAGATAACACTCAATCATTCATTGTCAAAAAAGCCTTGCAGGGTCTCCACAAAAAAAGAGGTTTCACTTTAGATTCTCGAATCCCATTAACTATATCCACCTTGGAGCGTGTAGTATCAGCATTGCCATCAGTATGTAGATCATCTTACGAGGCAGTGTTATTTTCCACAGTTTTCTCAATTGCATATCACGGCTTGCTTAGAGTAAGTGAAGTTTTGAATATCCATAGGGCACACATCACGTTTACTAGAAGCAAGGTCAGCATCTTAATTCCCAGGTCCAAAACTGACCAAATGGGAAATACGACAACATTGCATATTTCCAAACAGATAAATTCGGATATTTGCCCAGTACAGTGGGTACTCAAGTTTTTACGGCTGCGCCCTAATGATGGTTCCCTTTTATGCTTTATTCATGTCGACAATAAGGGTGTAACAAGATACCAATTCAACTACGTGCTTCAAAAAGCTCTTCAATTCATGAACATTCAAGGACACTTTAGACCACATAGCTTTAGAATAGGCAGGGCTACAGATCTTGCTAAACAGGGGTTTCCAGATTCAGAAATAAAATCTTTGGGCCGGTGGGAGTCAAAAGCTTTCAGAAACTACATAAGATTATAACATGTTAGCATTGTTAAATGGAATATAGGCTAATTTTGCCAAAGTATTCCAGGTTTCAAGACGATTTGGATAGTGGGATCTTCAATACCTTATTGGGCTGGTGAGGAGGCAGGGAGGAGACCGGGTGGAAAGAACCTTAATCTTGGGACGGACATCACTTGGAAGGGAATTAGAGGGCTGAAATGGGAAGATATTGACAAAGTGTTAACAGATGAACTCAAACATCAACCACACCCAGATGTACTAGTCATTCACGCAGGGTCAAATGATTTAACAACGTCTGGCAATACTGCACTTAGATTTTCACATGAAATTCAATGTAGTTTGTATCGTTATAATGTATTGCTTCCTAAGACTTTGCACATTTGGTCAACAATGCCTCCCCGTCTTTATTGGCATGGCGCACCTCTTGGCAAGGGTGGGGCTAAGATTGATTTAAAACGGCGTAAGGTGAATAAGGCCATTAGAAAATTCATTACATCCGAAGTTAATGGGGCTTGCATTTTTCATGACAAAAATATCAATGTTCATCAAAGCAGTTTATTTAGATATGATGGAACTCATTTATCTGAAAGGGGGAATAAGGCTTATTTAAATAATATCCAGGGTGGTTTGGAATTCATTTTAGGGGGAAAGGGCAAAATTTTCCCTCCTCAGTAATATCCTTTGTTTGTTTAGTCAGATTTCAGTTGCGATGACGCGATGACCTGTAATTTCCTAGTTTAGGATTGCTACATATATAAATATTAATTTTGGTGCAAATTGTTGTGGGGAACATCATATCGATGTTAGTGGCGGGGTCAAGGGAGACATCATCCTTGTGCATGCTTAACCTGTTTGTCTCTGCCCATCTGCATCAAAGCATGAGGGGGGTCTCATGGCTGTGTTTTAACATGGAAGTTAAATGCCATTGAGGAAATGTGTAGAATAAATGTAAATTGCTTGGGATCTGCAGCATTTCAGTGCTCAGACCCCCTCTACCTATATAAAAGTAGGAGAGGCTACAGGCTGGTTGGTGTTAAAATTCTATACCAGGTAGCAAGCCAGAGGCAGGGTGTAAAAGCTGTGCAGCTTGTGTGCCTAGCCATCATGCGTGTGTCAGGCATGGGGTTCCATGGCACTCGCATCTAAGCGAGGCCACTAGTTTGCCCGTTTGTTTATGATATCTTAGTTGTCTCCCTTGACTCCTACAAAATTTGCGGCCATTTCCATCCAACATTGTGTGTGTTGTATTATTATGAACTTGTTTCTCAATAAATTAGTAAAGTTATAATTGGTGTTTTCAATTCTCAGAGCTGTCTGGAAGACAGTTTCAGTATAATGGTATTGAAAAGGCAGAGAAAGCAAAGCAAGAATATCACGGGCTGCAAGATTCAATTAATATAGATTATTGAAATGAATATGAGATAATCTCATTTAATTGTTTGGATAGCATTAAACAATAAGACACAACTTGGTACAAGTTATCTAGTTCATGGGAAAGTAGGCTTCAGGATGAGTTAACTAATATAGCAATTTCTTCTTCCTCTTCAACATCCAGTGAGTTTGGTCATTAGTAAAAGTTACACAACCACCACTCCCAATTTTAAAGATATATATATATTATGTTTCATGTGACTGTTTTTTCTTTGATCACTTAATCTGTGCCAAGTATTTTATATTTTTTAGGTAGATTTCATGCTGTGGATTCAATCAAGCTAACCTTGTTCTTTCAATACTTAGGACTTCTCAAGTGATCATTGTGGCAGATTCACAACCAATGCCAATTATTTCAGGAAGAAGTTGGGTTTTTTCTTGTGGACTTTACTATAAGCATATCGATACAGTTCTTTCTTCTCTTAATTTAAAAAATAATAATAATAAATTCAATGTCGCATTTATTAAGGGGGAGGAGTCAGGGAAACATTAAGGTAAACAAGAGTACATGCGTAACCTGTTTGTCTCTGCCCATCTGCATCAAAGCATGAGGGGGGGTCTCATGGCTGTGTTTTAACATGGAAGTTAAATGCCATTGAGGAAATGTGTAGAATAAATGTAAATTGCTTGGGATCTGCAGCATTTCAGTGCTCAGACCCCCTCTACCAATATAAAAGTAGGAGAGGCTACAGGCTGGTTGGTGTTAAAATTCTATACCAGGTAGCAAGCCAGAGGTAGGGTGTAAAAGCTGTGCAGCTTGTGTGCCTAGCCATCATGCGTGTGTCAGGCATGGGGTTCCATGGCACTCGCATCTAAGCGAGGCCACTAGTTTGCCCGTTTGTTTATGGTATCCTAGTTGTCTCCCTTGACTCCTACAAAATTTGCGGCCATTTCCATCCAACATTGTGTGTGTTGTATTATTATGAACTTGTTTCTCAATAAATTAGTAAAGTTATAATTGGTGTTTTCAATTCTCAGAGCTGTCTGGAAGACAATTTCAGTATAATGGTATTGAAAAGGCAGAGAAAGCAAAGCAAGAATATCATGGGCTGCAAGATTCAATTAATAGCCTAATCATCTTTTGGGAGATGGTTGGTGGTGTCCTGTAGATGTGCAGTAAGGTTTTGGAATTATCATTTTCAAACTGGGGGTCAATTGGGGGGTCGAAAAATGACGTTTTTAGGCAAAAAAGCCCCTGGTTCGCTGAACTCCCCTAAAAATTTTACACAGTAGCCTAATCATCTTTTAGGAGATAGTTGTTGGTGTCCCATGGATGTGCAAAAGGTTTCGGAATTTTCATTTCCACCCTGGGGGTCAAATGGGGGTAAAAAATAGTGGGTTTTTTAAGATTAAAACACCCTGATTTCCAGAACTTCCCTTATAAATACATTTTGTATTAGCCTAATCATTTGGAGAATGATTGGTTTTATCCTGTGGATGTGCAAAATGGTTTCAAAATTTGCATTTTCATGTGTATGGCAAATAGGGGCAGGAAAAAATGGCCCCTCCCTAACCCATGGGGTCATGATTTGTTCAAACTTTAATCTACACTACTTGAGAATGTTTCCATATTAATATGTCTAATCATGGTCTTGTTGTTCGTGATAAGAAGAATTTTGATGATTGTTTTGCTTTTATTCCTATATAAAACTTTGATCCCTGATTATGGCCCGACCCTACCCCCGGAGGTCATGATTTGAAGAAAAAAATTGAATCTACACTATCTGAGGATGTTTCCATATCAATAATGACTAACAAGAAAATGCAAAGAATTATGGTCCCCTGTTTTCGGTTTCTTAGTGGATGGGATGCCATTATTTATGGCATATTGTGTCAAATTTGCACGCCCTATCATATGTCATTCAAAAGTAATCATCAAAGATGAAATTTTTGAAAATTAAGTAAAACATGAAGGTCAAGGGATAAAAAATCATAGCATGCTTGAAAACATCTTGTTACAGGTAATGTACATGTATATGTCAAATTATATGAAAGTCCTTTCTCGTCTCAATCAAAAGTTATAAGGAAATATAACATTTTTGAAAAGTAGGTCAAGGTCAGGATCACAGGGTCAAAAGTCATGATATACTTAGAAAGGTCGTGTCACAGGTAATATACATTTATAATACGAAAGCCCTATCTTTCCTCTTTCAAAATGATCAATTTAAAATAATGTTAAAATTGTTGAAAATATGTCAAACTTCAAGGTCATGGGGTCAAAACTCATAGTATATTTGGAAAGGTCTTTTTATAGGTAATGTACATGTGAAATATGAAAGCCTTATCTCTTATCATTCAAAAGTTATGATCAAGGTTAAAATTTTTGTGACAGGCGGACAGACTGACAGATAAATGAGATTTAATGTCCCCTCCCTTTCACAAAAGTGGGGGACAATAATGCCCTTGCTGTTCTTGAGAAGAAGATTTATGAAAGAAAAAATTCCCTGCATATTTCTATGTAAATCGTTGGATCCCCAAATGTGGCCCACCCTACCCCAGGAGGTCATAATTTGAACAAATTTGAATCTGCACTAATTCTATGCAAAGAAAGTTTCATATAAGTTTCACCTTTTTGGTGCAGTGATTCTTGATAAGAAGTTTTTAAATTATACAATTCTTTATTATCTTTTCACTAATTCTTTATTATCTTCCCTTAAAAAGGATGTGCCCCTCATTTGAACAAACTTGAATCCTCTATACCCGAGGATGCTTTATGGCAAGGTTGGTTGAAATTGGCCCAGTGGTTCTAGTGAAGAAGACAAAAATGTGAAAAGTTTACAGAAGACAGATGAACGACAGACAAAATGTGATCAGAAAACCAGAAAAGCTCAAGTGAGCTAAAAACTTATAATCACAAGTACTTGGAAAGAGTTACATTATTTGAGTAGCAGTTTTTTTTTTTCATGCATTGTTTTCAGAAGCTGAAAATGTATTCTATGTCACCATACTATAACTTGTATCCATGTTGAAAAAAACTGCACATTTCAGAAAACAGTTTGATAATAAATAGTTAATCAAGGTGTTTTGAGTAGCAAAATAAAGCTAAACTTGTATAGCTAATTCAATCACGGAGCTTAATCAATTTTAAGATGCACAACCTTTTCAGCTCTTAATCATTCTTAAAATATTTATATCATCATTTCTGATTCAAGGGAGAACTAGAGATATGATCAGAAGTATATATATGTCTGACTAATAAACATGTACATGTATATTGTGTTAGTTTGCTGTTAAAGTCCCTCTTGAGAATTTTTCACTCATATGGAGACACCACCATTTGAAAATAATGATGACAAGTCAGAAGTGAGGTTAACATTCATTTAAGGAGTTTTTAACAATTAAGACATGCAGAGATTACTCCTTCCCCTTGCCCCTTCCCCTTCACATACCCCCTTTTGTTCATGCATGCAAACTAGTACTTTGTTTTGACATTAAAAAAAAATGTGAATATATACAAATAGTTTAATGGTGCATCTCTCTGAACAATTTTCATTCCTAATTCTAGAAGGGTGGGCTGACCCAAAGTCATGAATGGAATGTCAAGCAATCTAAACTATCATTGATGCACTTTTAAATTTGATGCAGGTAATATTGTGAACATTTTCAGTTCAAGAGAGTGGGGATTGCCTCCAGGGGTTCATAACATTTATACCATTAGATGTGCATAATAACATAAGAAACAAAATTATGTATAGTCAAATGGAAAAGTTTTCAACTATTTTTATGTCACATGATCATTTGTCATTTCAAGGACAGGGAGTGGCTAGGGAGATCGGAACCTGCCCCCCCCCCCTGGGAATTTGCAGAGTTATTTAAAGTATATGCTGAAGCAAATAAAAAATGAAAAAATGACTTTGGACCCACCCACCCCACCCCACTCGCACCCCCGAAAACATGGACCCCACCATCGCCACCAAAAAATGGGATTTTTTTAGGCTACCTGTTGGCAAAGGATTTTATGTTTGTTTGTTTTTTCTTTTTGTTTTGTTTTGTTTTTTTTTTTTTGGGGGGGGGGGGGTCTCTGGAAATTCTGAGTTGGAAATTTTTTTTGACTTGGGTGGGCCTACCCCTCTGGAAGAAAATCCTTGATCTGCGTCTGTAACTTACAAAGGACTAAGAAATGTATGCAATGTCGACAACGGGAGATAACTCTTCAGAATGTGAAATTCGTCTGTTTTGGCATCCGATGATCTTTAATACTTTTTAAACTTTAACCTAACCATTTGCATTTCAGATTATTTTACCCCAATCTTTACCTAAACATGTACTTACCGACTGTCATAGGTACTGTCAACTTCATGAAATATAATCCAATTAAAACACACAATGAATTAATTCCTACTGATATAGGCCTATGTAAGTAATAGTTATTGTATTTTTATTATGGTGTATCCTGATTTATTTGGACGAAGGGCAGTGACGAGTGCGAAGCACGAGTCTCCGACCCTTCGTCCAAATAAATCAGGATACACCATAATAAATATTCAATAACTTTTTTGTATCATGGCCAATCAAAACGTCAATAATTGTTATGTCCCAAATTTTCAAGCATGATTTTTAATTACACCAATAAAAAATATAGTTTTTGTCAGGTGACCGCATGGATATTCTCTCCTTCTCGCCATTATCTTTTAATTAGCACATTTAATGTGTGTGTTCAAGAGAAAGGACATCGGATTGCAGTTCTCCAACTTAATATAAAAACGGATTGTTCATGAAATTCATAAGAAAACCTTTGGATATCAAGGATGAAAAATTCGAAGTTGAAGAAGGGAGATTTAGGTGTTAATCGAAAATCAAGAAAAAAAGATACCCGTTGATCATTTGACATATTCGAGAGCTGTGGCATGAACAAAAAAGCTGTGT